TTCTTATTTGGACTTGGCGTTTGCAAGTCTAGCAATAAGTTTGATCAGGTATTTTAATAGAGAAGGATAGATTTAGGAAAAATAGATACAGGTAAATTGGACAAGTATAAAAAAGTTTAATTTACTTCCGCAGAATGAGAAGTGTACCACCTTTACATTTCAGACATTTTTGTTCAAGTTGAGTGATGTACAAGGGTTGTGATTTAAGTTTCGACCGAGTCGACCAAAAAATGGCATGTTTTGACCGGCTCGACCCAAGCTGCCTATATTTCGATTATATTCGACGGAGGAAGAATATTTCGACCAAACTGGACCGAAGAAAACATTTTGACCAAGTTCGACCGAGGAAAAACGTTTCAATTGAGTTCGACCTCTAAAAAAAATTTCGTGGTTAACAGGTTGGCATGTGTATGTGTATTTGGATGTGAGTATGTATGTAAGTTCTTAGGTTTCTAGTTATGTATTTTAGAACCCAGGTCGAGGTCTTGGATTTATGTATGTATGTGTGTATGTATGCATGTTCTTTTGCGATTTGACATTTTATTGCAAGTAGTCTTTGTTAATTTTTCAAAACAGTCGATTCTTAGAAATGCTAACAAAAAATTTAAAAAAAAACTAAAAACAAATGTTTTCTATTTTTTAGTTCCCAGGTAAGTGCTGACGTTTTTTATATCATTAATAGTATTTATGACTTGATGCTTCATTTGGTTGTATTATGGCTTACTGTTTTTTTGGTGAGAATTTTTTTGTTACCCCACAAACATTTCCTATTGTTTTAGGACCATATGCAGGCCTTCTCATGGTAGAATTTGCCATCCGAAGACGTTAACCCCCCACACCACGGAGAGGTGTCTATCATGTGGAGGAAACTTGTGTTCCCTTATATGATCAGAAAATATGCTGTTCTAGCTAACTGCACTTTAAAAATACATATATCATGAATAATTTTGCTGAATGCAACTGTTTAGAGTTCTGCAAGCAAAAAGCAAATGCGAAAAAAAAACAATAAAATCAAAGTCCTGGAAAATTTTTGTTTGTGTTCGAGTTTGTTTCGACCCACTCGAATTTATGTTCCAATTTTGAGTTTAACTATGCTATAAAGTTTTGTTTGACTTTATGTTTTGAGTTATTGTTCGACTTTAACTTTCGACTTTGAGATTGTCTTTATGTTCCAACTTTGTGTTCAACTTTGATTTGACCGACTCGGCTTTATGTTTCGACTTTGAGTTTGACTATAGGGCCTTCTCGACTTTTGATTTTCGGTTGAATTTTGGCATCTGTTCGACCCACATCTGTTGAAACATAAACAGGGCAATATCAGTTTCACTCGAACTGTTATCATTAAAAGGGTCTATGATGGTTACTGTGTTTAGTAGTTTCGGAGAGGTGTATCTCATACTGCGGCATAGCTAGGTCTGATAGATTTGATTCTCTGTATGAACCGGTCAAAAGTTTTCTGGTCTAATAGGGCAGCAATTTTGTTCGTAAAATGGAGACAGGCATCCCCTGAAATAGAAACAAACAAGCAAAGAAAAGTGACTCTCAAAAACAGTTCAACGAAAGCTGAAAATTTTAAGTGTTGGTTGATTTATTTGCAATTGAAAAAATTCAAACTGTAAGTGGTACATCTGTTCTTATTTGTGCAGGGGTCAAGCGGGTGGATTTTCAAGCTTGAAAGTTTTTCATAAGTTTATCACAATAATGAGGCTGATAGGAATCATAGTTAATTGATGGAAAATTGTTTACAAAACATTTATACTCTGAAACTCAAGAGGTTTGGTGGTAACAACATAAATTCAACCCCAAATTGTAACAGATTTCAGGAAAAAAAAAGAAAACGAATTCGAAAAACACATGAAAATATCTTTATCTTTAAGCCCAATGTACAATACAAAAAAAACGATATACTGAAAACCAATGAAAAAAGGCCATAGGCCACAGCTTAAATAACCAAGCTAAAATGTTAGCTCTCACAATTTTTGTGAGGTTATCGTAGTCCTGGGGGATAGATTGTCGTGTAGAGACGGGTTAGAGAGAGAGAGTATATCAATTCGTTAGAATGATTTAAAATCTTCTCAAGTGGCTAAGTTTTATAAAAAAAAATCAATCTTACTTAGCGTTTTGGTTTGCGATCAAGGGTTGAAGAATAATAAATCAATCCTCAAGGTTCTGATATAATTAGAACACAAGTAGATCGTTGATACTGTTTTAAGTCCTACTAATTATAAGATTTGTTTTAGCCAGGGTCGATTAAGAGGAAGGGCTCGAGTCAAGTATGAGTAGCCGAAGTTCTGCAATGTTTATCTTAAATATAATTGTTAGTTATTTGAAAAATTTCTTTTAGCTCTGGGTCGTTTGTAAGGATTGGACAGTGAATTGACGTTTGAGGTCGTTAGACACAGTTTGAGGTCAATAGATCCAAGAATAACCTTGATGATCGGGTTCAAGGAAAAATTTTGTTGTTTTAAAAACGAGTGTAAGCCCTGAAAAGATTTAAGTTTAAGGTTAAAGATTTAAGAAAAGGTTAAAATGTAAATATTGAGTGAAATTAGTTTTTGAGTAATATTCTGCTATATTTTAGATGAAGAAACAAAGAAGCACGATGGAAGTAACACGAGTCGTTAAGAAGCAAAGAACTTTTTATAGTTTTCATAGAACTAAATTAAATTTGTGTACTAACAAATTTTTGTATTTCATATTCAATTACTTTTCATTTTGCAAAAAAGTTTTGAACTTACTGCAGATTTCCGAAAATAAATGGTTTTTGTACTTTTAGATCAATTGTTTTGGTATTATATAATACTAGTTGTACATCATTGAGAGATATCTATCTTGGAAACGAATCTTACTGCTCCAAGTATTATATTTCATAATAGTGAACGAAAATGTACCGCATTATAATTTTGTAGAATTGTAGTCTGCTTTTTCGTTTTACGACGTAAAAACTAGGTCCGCTATTCGGGTTCTGACCTGGTGTAAGCTCTAATACTTGTTGGTATTGATTAGATTTTTTGAGACGTGGATATAAGTTTTCGATAATTATTAACATTTTGTGTTATGTGTTTGGATCATATTGAATTTGCTAAATCTAAATTTGTATATGTCTAATCAGATGAGTTTAAGTCTGATAGGCTCTCTCATAGAGTAATTTCAGATGAGGTACACTGTCTGTTCGTCACGCTATCTCGTTTTCGGCCGGAAAGATTTGTGCAACTTCTTATTCTGATACCGATCTTAGTCTTACTCTTATATCTCCTAGTCTCAATAGATTTAGTGCATACTGGTATTTACGAAGTTAGATATCAGGAACTGTTCCGGAGAAGAGCAGCTGTTTGCTAAATTAAATTTTTTCTGTTCCGGCTGAAACTATAAATAGTTTCAGCCTTACAAGTTAGTTATGGATCATGATTGGTTAGTTCTAAATATTTCACAGAGATAGTTTATCAAGAATATAATAGGATAAAATAAATGCTTGTTTTGAACTGGTTCCAAATCTTGAAAGTTGTTGAACAATTTTTGATTGTACAATAGGGATGTACGTATCGAGAAAATGAAAGTATCTATTCCGCAGTTGAACTTTTTTCGCTATTTCCGGAGTTGTCGCTCAAAAACGCTTGGCCTTGATAGCACTTCATTTGTCATTTACTGTGAGTAAAACATCTTGTTTTTTGTTTAAGTGAAAGGATTTATAGAGTTCTTTTTATTATATATATTCGAGAGAAAATTTGTTTTATTATAACGTTTCTATATAACGCCGATACCTTCTTCTGTTGGTCGTTTTCATTACTCTTAAGGTTGAACATTTTAAAAAGTTTTGCTCGGTTGGTTTGTGAAATGTGAGCGAATCTCATTTAAAATCCAAATAAAGGTTTTTTTTCATTTTTTCGAAACTGCTAAGTAAGTGGCTCAATTTCTATTAATGTCATATCAAAGTGAGCCTTATATGTAGCCATATAAAATTTAACTTGAATATAATCTTTTCATTTTGTTTAAAAATATATTTTTGATAGCCAAAAAATGTAATTTTTACATTATTTTATATATATATAATGGACAAGAAAGATATATATATATATATATATATATATATATATATATATATATATATATAAAGATAGATATATGTATATATATATATATATATATATATATATATATATATATATATATGTGTGTGTGTGTGTGTGTGTGTGTGTGAGTATTTTATAATTCAAATCAGTTTTTAAAAGTTATGAACGATCGATTGGAAGTTAAATACCTCTTAAACTTTATTGGACTACGTAAGAGGCTCACTTGGATATAATTTTGTCAGCAATTGAACCGGTAGCTTAGGCGTGGTTTTGGGTTGACTAAATAAAAAAAGTTGATCGTGTTTGGGTGAAACCGTGTCCATTTCGCCAAAAAATGTACCCTACCTTTTTGGGCAATTTGTATTTATCTTTCTTGTCCAAAATTATCCCAATTCAGAAAAAAAAACGTTTCAGTTTAAAGTGTTTTTTTTTGTTCGCCCGGTTTTCCTGTGGTTCCCAATTTGGCATACATGAAACTGATTCCACAATTATTTCTGCATACGGGGTATCGAAGACAACTTAATTTTATTGATTTTTTAAAGAAGTCTTAAGTTAATTATTGTATTTCTGACCAAACACAACCGACAAATGATTCCAGGTTGACATTATTCCCTTCAATTATTTTTACTCGCCATCGGTTTTTATGCTAACATTGATTAATTCTTTTGACGTCAGCATGAAGTGAAGACTCTGTGTTGATTGTTTGTTTTTGATTTTCTGGACCGTTTTCAGAGTAAAAACTAAATGAGAAAATAATTTTTACATAAAATTTTCAATAACTTTTTAATTTGAATTTTTAGGACGCTCTGGTAATGTATTTAAGTATAAATTTTGATTAAAGGCGATCAGGTATTCTCAATAAAGGTACAATGTTTCAGTACTACTCGCGTTAAATTAAAGATGCATTTTTATATTCAAAATTATCTAGAAAACATTTTAATTGCCATCCCAAGTCATTTTCATTTTCTTCTATTTTTTCCATTCGAAAAATTGGATTTTCGTTGCGGATAAAGCTGACTGCATATCAACGGGATGACTGGTCGGAATATTCGAGGCTCCTTGAATATTTCTGATCTCGTTATAATTGGTGATTGAAGAGTTTGTTTGTAGTAAGCGCAACTGCAAGTGAAAAAATGGCACTCCAAAAATTGATAGACACGACTGAAACAAAAAAAACTATCAGAAAGAGATCTAGGATGTTCACGAGGGCAGGGAAAATTCAGAAAACATGAAAAATTAACCAAGCTGTTAATTAGTTAAACAAAATAATTTTTCAAGCTCTTCTAAATACTAAAAAAAGTTGCGAACTAACCTCAAAATCAAACTTGTCACCATCTTCCAAATAAGACAAAACAATGCCAATACTTGTTATAGCATATGATATGGAGAAAAAAATTGCTTATCTCTTGTTTCTCAAATGTCATGATTATTTAGCAAGATGGCCAAAGGGACAAAGTTTACAAAAATTGAATTAACTCAATCAGAAAACTAAAAATATAATGTTTTCAATTATTCCCGCAAAATTTAATTATTGCAAACCTACGGATAGCATTTAATTACTGAATGCAATCCAAACACCCAAAAATTTAATTTTGAGTGTCATTTTGGCAATTTTTTACTGGGTTTTATCAACTAAACGAAGCCACTAAGTTTTTTTAAGGCCTCTATTTTTTTTAAATCGCTCATTAAAAAACTTGAAAAACATTTTTGATACACTATTCTTTAGCACCTGGAACGCTGGTGCTCATGCTTTTGACCTCATTAGTTCAATTAAACCCCCCAAGATTATGTGCAATTACGATTGTAAATTTAAAAAAAAACGCACGCCTTTTTGCTTTACGTTTTCATTTTTAGTCTGACTGTCACATTCTGCTATTGATTAAAAATTAATTGCAGTTTTGAAAAAATGAAAAGCGAGGACTTCAATGATTTACTGATTCATCAATTTGTTGCGTTTTTTCAACGATTTATTTAGATTTTTGTTTCGACTATTCTCGAAGGAACTAAAGCGTAATGTCCGTTTCTAAAAAAAAATTCTTGTCAATTTTGGCTAAATCAATTTAAATTTGTGGGGTCAAATGGGGTACAAGTAAATCCTTGTAATAACAACTCTAAAAAAATGTCTCAGTTTAGAGAAAAACTGGTCAGAGTAAATAGGGCTTTCATACAAAATTAGACGTAAAATGAAGAGAAGCTGACCTTCCACTACAATGTTAACATTATGTTAGTGTTAGGGTTATTAGAGATGTTACTTCTCATTCTCGCAGTTTTCACCTAATTTAGTCCTCCTGTACTCAAAAAATACGGGAACTTTTTGAATTCTTTTTCTCAAATCAGTGTGGTCGAAAGATTTTGGGCAATCTGCGCAGCAACCGTAATGCTTTAATGACTAACAAAGAGACCTTAAACGGGCCGTTTAGTTTAATATCCGCCTCTCCTAACTGATGGAAAACGGAAACTAGATATTCATCATCATGAAACATCGTCGATTTTACTAATAAATGAAGGAAAGGTAGCCAGAGCGTAGAATTAACTTAGAAAATTGCAAACATGCAACCGTTAGTTAAAAACAGATTTGTCTGAAATAATGGTTCATGATGGTTCATGTCTCGAGTGAAATTCATGTAGAGAGAAAAAGGCTAAGAAAAATAGAGAGAAGAAAATTTTTGAGGCTAAATTAGGTGTCATAGAGATTAAACTAGCTCACTCATCGTATCTTGTTATGTTCGTTAAACCATCTGTCAATCAATTAACCTTACACCGGTGCTAGACACAATTGACAGGTACTAACTTTCGGAGCGCTTCGCAACTTTTGGTAAACTCCTAATTTAGTTGTTGCTAATGATCTTGATTGAATACAGTTGTTTATTAAGATTGGAATTTAACGTTACGGAAATAGCTTTTTCAATATGACCCAGCCAGCAGGATAAGGTGGGGGAAAACCCATTAAGAATTACGTCTTTTTGGTAACCGAAATGCGTGGAACCACCCATGCTGTGCGAATTTTGGCTCAACTGTTTCCAGTGGAGGATGATAACAAAACACTCAATAAATCCGAAAATTATTTAATTTGCAAGTACTCCCAACGCGACACAGATTGCAGCGGATGTGGATGGGAAACCACGATTGGAATCAGAACAAACATTGATATCCAACTTATACTTGTGCCTCGGAGAAAAAGGGCAAGATGAGTTACACTAGCGGAAACCACATTCGGACTTGGCGGCTACGAGGTATCCGCGGCTGCTGGACGCGATGGAAGGGGAATTAAAGAAAGAACGGAATGAGACAGATCCAAGGGAGAGGACTATTCGGAGAAGGAGTAAATGCGAACGATCGCAGATGCTAGAATTGTGACAGACCAGGTTTCACTAGGGAACATATAAGCGAGTGTGCCGCAAAAGGAGCGACATGTAATTTCGGCATGAAGGTCGGCCATTTTGAACGGACGTTCCGTGCTAAATGTGGAAACCGAGGACGAAAATCAGTTGGAATGATTCAGGGACAGGAGGATCATGACCATGACGATCAGGAAGGCATTGAGATGACATGTCACAACACGAGAGTTCGGTATGATGGGTATGGACTATACACCCACACCGACACGGCAACAGCATTCGTGGGATTCAGACTAGATCTGGGGATTATCTATTTATATCGATTAGATCGAAAAGTAAAAAAAATTGCGAGTCACAGGCGCTAAACTACCACAGGCGCTAAACTACCTTGTCAACGGGAAAAAGACAAGTGTATCGATCGATAACGGTTTGCCAAGTTCTATTTTTACAACCTGAGAGCTGAACAGAACATTGGGCACCGCAGGAGTCAGTCTATGCAATTTTGCATCGGAGGACCCGGTTTTCCGTGATTACGGAAATAATCCGCTAAGCTTAATGGGGACCACTAAAGTGCAGTTGGCATCGAACGGCTGGGAGACGATAGCGGTCCTCAAGGTGATTGAAGAAAACCGCCCATCAAAAATCGGACGAGACTTGATGGCTGAATTGGGGCTCCTGTTAAATCAGAAGGCACCAGGGGAGTAGGTGATGGCAATTCACGAGGAAAATGCCGAAGGAGATAACAAACTGGACCAATGGAATTAATATTTTAGCAAGCAGTTTTCGAATCTCTTTACACGGGTCGGTAAAATCTGGAATTATAAGGTGCAGGCAGAACTTTTTAAATCCCTCTTACCTATTCAGCAAAAAGGTAGGCGCGTACCAATAACGTTACAAGAGAAAGTAGATGGGGAAATATCCAAAATGTTACCCCAGGAGCACATAGAAAAACTGCACGACTGTTCGGATTGATACTTTGTCTCTCCAATAGTGATTACGGTACAGAACGACGGTTCAGTAAAATTAACACTTGAGGCTCGTGAATTAAATGAACAAGTTAAAAATCATAAATATCAGATGCCCAAAATGGAGGAACTTATGGCCATTGTCGGTCAATTGATTAGCGAAACAAAATCTATAGATATTTATTTTTCAACTATGGACTTAACATACACCTATGGTCAACTGCCACTCAGCCCGGAAACTAGCGTACAACGTATTTTTTTGTTAATTGGGGAAAGTCGACGGGAACGTATCGATTCAAATTTATGCCGCCGAAATTTCAAAGAGTGATGGATTTCTTTTTTCGGAGTTTGCACAGGCACACGCTTTTTGATGACATTTTAATTACAACAAAGGATCGGAAATAGAACACATTTCAACGGCCGAGAAAATACTTACAAAGCTAGACAAAGACAAAAGGGCGTTAAAATTGTCAAAAAATTCCAGTTTGCGCAACGAGAATGTGAATGGCTCGGGCATAAAATCACCGCAACAGGTATAACCCCTTTAGTTCGGAACACAGCACCAATCGACGCACTTGAACCGCCGCTCACCCTGTCGCAACTTAAATCGTTTTGTGGGATCGATCCACAATTGGCATAAGCCGGCGCTTGCAGAATCTTCGGCGCCATTACGCCCATTACCTGGGCGGAAAAACGAACACGTATGAACACCGAATTGCCAGGCGGCATTCGAGAACTTAAAAAACCAAGTAGGAAACATTGTGGAACTAAAACATTTTGATGTCCACAAGGTTATTCGAATAGTGTGTGACACAAGCCATAACGGATTGTGAGCCGTATTAGAACAACGCGGCTCGGAAGGGTGGCGGCCGATTTCATTCGCGTCGCGTTATCTGAATGACGCCGAAAAACGCTATTCAACAAACAAACTGGAAATGCTAGCGGTGGTGTAGGAAGCGGAACATTTCCGGAATTATGTACTGGGACGGACTTTTCTAGTTATCACTGACCATAGGGCGCTGGTAAGAAAAACAAAACAAAGTTCAGCCGTTTAACAAGATGATTAGATAGGTTAAATCCATTTGATTTCCGCGTAGAACATAAACCGGGGGCTAAAATCTGCTTGGCATTTTACTTATCCGGAAATCCAAACAGTTTAGTTAAGCCAGTTTCAACTTATGATAGTATGTTCACCTTGGCGATAATAAATGCAATACGTAAAACCTTCGGATTTTCAAAAACTGATATATCCGGAGGACCGGAAATAAAACATCAATATGCCTCAATTAAACAGGTCTTAACCAATAAGGACGTAATATGCAAATTTCGTAAAATAAAACGACCGATAAGGGGCGATGTGGAATGCGAAAACAATTCAGCCGATCAGAAGGGTACAATTTGCATTCGCTGACGGCCACTCGACAAAAACTTAAAAATAGTTGGAGCTATTATTAACTCAAAAGACGGCAGTAAGTTTTTTTAAAGAACATTCAAACCACATGGAGAAGGCATTTAGAAAGATCAATAATTTTTTGGAGAGGCACCCGAGTATTGATACAAGTGAAAGTGGAGACACTGAAGTGAACGAGCTGGACGGAGAAACCCGATTGCAGGCAATAACTACGGAAACTACAACAACAAATATGAATACGGTACTATTTATACCTTCCGCGTTCAAAGGTGAAACTTTTCTTGCGGTGTACCCAAAAAATTGCATCATTTCGATAGTCCCTCGTAACTGTGAAGTAGTCCAGAAGAATACCGTTCTTCTGAAAATATTCAATTTAAGATTCATCGAATCACAAAACGCCTCAGACCCACAACTACAAACAATTTACGAAATGGTGAAAGCGAAGGATCCGGAAATTCAACAAAAAGTGGACAATTTGATGCGTTATTACAGTCTGTTAACAATTTCCACGTACGCAATAACGTTCTATGGATAGACGATAAACTAGTCAGCAACAATACCCTGCATAAAGCCATAAATAACAAACTACACTACTATCATCACGGGAAAACAAATATGTTCACGGCCGCTAAAATTATTTGGTTCCCTTACATACATCGAAACATTGCGGCGATGGCAGAAAACTGCAGGGAGTACACCGTGGTGAGTAAGAATCTTAAAAATATGTGTAGTGAAGGAGAGTTAGGTACTATTCCAGAATCAAAAGAACCAAATTAATCGTTAAAGTTAGACTTCTGGGGACCTTTAATTACTTAAATGAGTCTACAAAAACGTCATTGTAGCCGTCGATCGATTCTGCTAGACACAATTGACAGGTACTAGCCTTCGGAGCGCTTTACCACCTTTGGTGAACTCTTAATTTAGTAGTCGCTCATCATCTGGATTGAATACAGTTGTTCATTAAGATTGGCAATTAACGTTACGGAAATAGCGTTTGCAACATAGGTGAATGAAATTCTGTTAAAACTTATTTCATCGGAGCCTCTAAAACGCTTACTACAAATTCCCCGAAATACATCATCAAAATGTCAGGCTAATTTATTCTGAAATGCATTTTTCTTACCTGATACAGAGAGGCTCGCCTGCTTTCGACTTCGACCTGTCATAAGTACACAACTTTTACTCATTTTTTTTTTCTTGAAACAAGAATTCAAAGTTATTTGAAGCTGTACCTTTAGTGACATTCAACTGAACTAGACGTCCGACTTGCATCGAACTTCCATATTGACATGAGAAAAGTCCGCTGTCATCTAAACACCATAAAAAAGATTATTTATCATTCGGTTCTACTTAACCATCTCCCTACTTTCAAACAAGGCGTGGGAAATGTTCAGAAGATTAAGTTAGCCTAACTTTCGACCAGCCCGAATGCAACAAAAATAAAAATTGTAAAAGAAAGCTTCAAGACGAAATTAATTTTTTTAAGTTAGAGGGGTGTAGATTTTTTCGTGGATAGCATAGGGGGATTTTTTTGTAACTAGGTCCTATCATTCAACACCAATCAACTCAAAACTTGGTCGAATAAACGGCATAAAAACACTGATTATGGGAAAGAGGATACCGTATATAGATGCACCCTCTTATCTTCCCCCCCCCCCCCCCCGATAATATTACAACTACTCGTTTTTAAATTTCGAAGCATTTCATAACGATTCAGGTATGTTTAGGTAAAATTGAAGGTTCTTTAAAAGTGTGGCACAAACTGACTATGAACTTTGGTGGTTGTACTAGTTTTTTTTGACACTTGGGAATTTTTGACTCAAGGGGGTAGTAGAAGTGAGCTGTTATTTGTTTTATTTAAGTATTTTAGTGAACATTTTTTGCAGAAAATTTTTGTGAGCATTTTTAATTATAAAAATTTATTTTTAGAGAACGTTTTAGTTTTTGTTGATGTGTTTACAACTCAGAAAAACTCTTTGCGACGTACCGTAGCTCAACCAAGCATTCATTTTACATGTAATAGAAATACTCGCCGCTAAGAAATTAGAGTAAATGCTTACTTGTTCTCAAGTTAGATATTCTCAAGTTGCCATAACTCGAGTAGTCGGGAGTCTGTTGTCCCGTCTGTCCATCCATGATGCTGTATCTCTGTCTGATGTCTTCAGTTGTGTACTGGTTGAACTTGGCTGGCATACTGGGGAAGGAGTTCAGAATGTTCTTGTCTACTTCCTGGCCAGCTATGTTGCCGATAAACTCAACTAGTGAAAAAACAAACTCAAAGCGCGTCATCAACAACCCTTGCCTTACCTTCCTCAAGGAAACGTCTAGAACCTTTGCTAGAAAAAAGAGTTTCGAAGTTTTTGAATTTTCCGATATTTTTGACAAATTCTTGGAAAGTTTTGACCAATAAGTTGAATTTATTCGCGCGCACCTTCCCTTTGCACTTAGTGTACATTGGTGACAAAGACGCTTTAGGGCAAATTCAAGGGTTGTTCGATGAAATGAGAGAAGAAAAATATCACCAAACAGAGGTCAGAGGGATGTCATTTGGGTGGTCAAGGGTTGAACTCCTCTGCGGAAGGCGATACCCCCGGTCTGACCCAAAACCGAATACTGAGCAACGTATATGGCTCCGCCTTCATAAAGGGCTGATCGCACAATGGTCAAAAATATATTAACTCATTATTCTAGTAACGCGTTCTTTTTTCAACAATAATGGCTAAAAACATTCAACAATTATGGCTAAAAACATCCGATAAAAACTTGATAACTACACATCACCAAGAACACGATAAATCTAATCCTAATAGATATCGCAAAACATGAAAAAAAAGAAGTTCACATGCTTCGAAATGACGAGAGAGGAGGCGAAGCTCGAAAGTCTACAAATTTGCTAATTTTGCGGTCTGTCTCGATAAAATCTTAAACTACGGGGCTAGGTCTTTTACCAAACCGACCGTTTACCTGACCGAACTTTTACCTGACCATAATACAAAGTTTCAATTCAGATCAGTTTAAATTAGTGGAAGATTTGAAAAGAAAGCAGTTAGAACAAACGAAAACTTCGCTGAGGAACCGATAAATTATTGTCTTTGACCAGACTAAACGGCTTCTTTACTTCTGTCAATTACATTAGTTTATCGAGTCTGATAACAGGTCCATGTTATAACTTTTCTGGTAAAAGATCAGTCTGTTAAAAAGTCGGTCCCCATAAAATTTATGATTATAATCCACTGAAATAAGATTGAAGGAATATAATTTATTATAATTTATTGCCCTAAAAGTCAATTTTTAATCAATTTTTGAAATAATATAGATTATAATAGAAAAAAATCCATTATTTTTCTCAAAAAAAAATTGTTTTATGATCCTTATTTAGTCTAAAAAAATGGTTTCTTTCTTAAACAAAAAAAGCATTGCAATAAAAGAAAGTCGAAAAAAAGAACCAAGTACAGTAAAAAAAATCCAATCAAAAAATCAAAAATGCCAAAAATTAGATCTAGCTAAACAGATAAACCTGGATTTGAAACGAAAAACATGCCAAGATGAAGTCTTTTATAAAGATGAAAAAAAGACTTACAAACTGATTAAATACATTCATGTACCCCACGCGCACTTCGAACGAGGCAAAAAGAGGGCACAAAAATGCGTTTTTTAAATTCCAAGAAAAGAAAAAAGAAAAAAAATGTTTTTGCAAAATTAGTTTTTTACGAGGACGAAAATCTAGTACCAGGTTGCAACATTGTCAAATTGTCAAAAACGCCAAAAATGAGAATGTGTATGACAAGTTTGCTTGAATTTGCTTGAACGAGTCAACTTGTATTCGACCCGCACTCCATCTAGGACATGGGTTGCTGAGGTGGGAGAGGGATCGCCATATTTGAACAATAGATTTCATTAAAAACCTTTTACCGTATATACTCTACATGCAAGCCAGAACTTTTATTGACATTAACTAATTTGTAATGCAATCTCCACTTATCCTATTTCAAAATAAAAATGTTTTATACCAAAATTTTTGAAGTTACCCGATTTTGAAAATCTGGCAAAAAACTGTTTTATAGGAGGGTAGATGTTGGATTGACATGGGGTTTTGTCTTTTACTAACCTAGACTCCCTCAAGTTTGGATAATCATTTTAATTTTTCCTGACATTATTACCTTTTGGCAAAAAAATCATAATATATTTTTAAATTAAATGCGAGGGATAATTTTGAAAGCGTCAAATAAATTGTATTCGTTTTGTTTTCTATAAAAATGTTGTGATTTGAACGGATTATAAATCGGGACTTATATTCAATTAATTTTTGTATGAAGTTTAGTTATAAGTGTAAAATAATCCATTAATTTCTCCTCAGTCTAAGTGCTCACTAGGGTAGCACACAAATTTTGGTCTGTAATTTTTTTTCGAGGAAGCTAAAAATCGTGTGGAAAACAATCAATTCTATGCCACTGTTTTTTTTTACTTTTTCAGAGTTTGTTTTTTTCAGAGAAAGATTGAAGCTTTATCTATTAATTTCAGGAAAGCACGTTAATATTTTTCCGGATATTTTGGTCAGATGTCTTTTTTGCTACTCAAAAACTACCAGTTGTTGCATTTAGAGTTTTTGCATACTGCCATATGATTTAGTGTTTGTTTTGAAAACAATTGATGAATTTTTTTTTAATGAAAAAAAAAATAACGAGATTTTTTGAAAACCATCCTCAACCGCTATTTTATGTACAAATTGTTGAATTTTAGGGAAAGAAAAGTGCGAAGTAGACCAAACTACTTACCTGACTTCAATGTGGAAGGATTTAATAGCGTTAATAGCACGAAATACATCGCGCGGTAGTTATCCCAACTTAGCAAAATTTATACCCTAATAAAACTGCTAGTATCAGGGCAAAGACTTGAATGTTCTGAAAATCTGAAAACCTTTTGAGATGTATGGATTAGAGTTTCATTTGAAAAAGTATAATAAAACAACAAATAATCATTCAAACTTTTTTGTGACTTTTTTCTACATCATGCCCCACACGCTATATAGAATACGAAGTGACCTATTTTGCACATACCAAAATAATTAAATAACCATCAAGACTGCGCCTAGATCAGGACGAAATTGTGATTGTTTGGACTGCATTTTAAAATTTTTAACTTTTTTTTGGTTTTGTGTATTAGGAAACAATCAAAAAAATGAAACTTTTCTTCATTTAACCCCTTCAACCTAAAAAAAATTAATCAATTGTAGACAGATAGTTTTTTTGCGACTCAAAAATGGCCATTTGTTGCATTAGAGCTTTTGCATAGTGCCACTATTGCAACTAAAATTGCTAGGCCGACGCAGAGATGCAAGTAGAGGTAGCTAGCAGGAATAGATTATCATTTCTATAGCAGTTTTGTGGATAGACTATCCGACCAGCCAACAAAATTTTTCACATCAGGGCCTTGAGTGTTCAGACTGCCAATTAAGGTCATAATATAGTGATTGTTTTGATAACAAAAAATTGGAAAAATTTTTCAAGCAGAGAACAAAAAAATTAACGAGCGTTTTTGAAAGCCATCATCAACCGCTATGTTTAGTAGAAATTGATGAATTTTGCGGAAAGAAAAATGTGAGTTAGATCAAGCTCCATGTCTCACTTCAATGTAGAACGAGTTAAAAATGTTAAGAGCACAAATTATATCGTGTGTTATGTATCCCAAATTGGCAATCTTTAAGCCCTTACAAAACGGTTAGTATCAAGTTAAAGTCTTGAACATACTGACTGCCTTTTAGGGTCTATGGAATAGTGTTCCATTTGAAAATTTTAGGAAATCATATGATTTTTTTTTCTATGATAATTTATCTACACTATACCCCAACACACTATATAAATTACGAAGCGTTGTATTCCGCATGTAGCACAGTATTGTCACAACCAGCAAGAGTGCTCCTAGATTAGAGCCTAGTCTGGATTGTTTCGACTGCACTTTAAGGCCAATTAAATTTTTTTGGTTGTTTTTTTTACGAAGTATTGAAAAATATATATATATATATTTTTTTCATTCATCCCCCCATTGTCAAAGTAAAATACAAAAGGCGTATTTAACGTCTCGTATTTTTTTACAGGACTATACTGCTGGCCTTATTTCAATTTGCAACGCAACATTTTGCCGCTTACTTGTGTTATAAAAACGCAATATATCGCGCTTTAGTTATCCCAAATTGCCCACATTAGCCGCTTTCAAACCCTCTAACTTTAAGAAAAGTCAATTATCTTTTAGCTTAAGAGAATAATGTTTTCGAACAATCTGAAGAAGTTACGTCAAATATTATATTGTTAATTTAAAATTTGTTCGGAGAAAAGAAAACCAACCCGAGCACAAATCTTTCATCTCTTTCTTCGAAAGTCGGAGCAACAGTATCTTATAAAATTTGTTAGCAAAAACAGATATTTCATGAACAAAGGCACAACCTCGGTCATTTTTGCAAGTCGCAAAAGTTTTTTTATGTGTTTTTTTTTCGAGTGACTGTTCTTGAGTATGATGCAAGAAAAGCTTAAGATCGCGTAAACAGTATTTGAGAGTTGGAGGGGGTGTGTTAGGGGTTTGATGATGTCGCTTTTTAGAAGTCGATATCCACACCACTCAATGGGACTCCTGTTTGTTTATATATTCATATCTATATTGAGTGGTGTGGAAATCGACTTCTAAAAAGCGATAATTATATTAGTTCTTATTTTAGCCGAGCATCATGCGAGAAAAGATCGCAATGTCAAAACTGTTACGTAAGTGTCCAAAATTGTCAAATATCAATATAATGAATCAACAAGTTTTTCCGGGTGTGCTGTATAAACCAAATTGTTTGGCGTGAAAAAATAACAATGAAATTTTTGAAAAATTGTTGTTATTTTAAGTTGACTAAAAATTGAACATTTGAGTTTTTTATACAAAATTATCCAAAAAAATCATACTTTTCAACTTGAATCAGGGCTGATAAAATTTTAATGTCTTTTACCAATCTACCCTATCTTACTGTTTAATTTATGGTATACGATTTAAGGGCAAATGTGAGGTTTTCTCTAAGGGGAGGGACGGCGGTTTTTCAAAAAAAAATTTCGGTCTTTTTTAGGTCGACCAAATTGATTTTCCGAGTATCCAAGAGTGTAAGAAAGACCCTAACTTGGCCAAAATATTTACGTCCCAGGCAATTTTCTGAAAAAGCAGGCCAATAAAGGCGTTTTTCGGCGTTTTTTGAACAATTTTGGTTTAAAAATAGCGTTTTTGGCGTTCA